AAGTAGAAGAAGGACACCGTAAAATCTGGCAAGATACGGTGGGCGGAAAAAAAAGGGGGGGGGGGTGATGTAAATGAAGATAACGCGACATAATTCTTGACAATATTTTCTCATGGCATTGAAGGGTGCTAACACACGAACTGAAACACGCTGTAGAAGATCACCGATTGTGGAGAGGCATGATCGTCCACGCCAGTCAACAGAGCGCTTGGTGATAATGGTGATGACAATAGATAATTATGACGTTTTTAAAAACCAAGATGAGTAATTTTGTCGGCGTCTGTGTCTAAACGATCGCCAACGTTGTGTGCAATATCGATATACTCTGTTCGATTCCAGTTGCGGACAATTTTAGGTCGCTATGGGTTGATTTCCACACGGGTATCTAAAGCTGGCTTTTAGGAAGCCGTGGAAAACTACTGACCGTAAAGCTGCCTAGTACAACTGCAAAACGCCAAAAAAATTATGGGGCTGACTTGCAACGTCCTCTGAAGGATACGCAACCATCTTTTAGATAATTTTAAATGTAATATTAAAGGAATTCTAGCATATGTCAGCGAACGTTTAACGCATTCGAAAATAAATGCCGGAAGAAGAATTTTGCATATTAAATGGGACGGGATTATTTCAAGACAGATTTAAAAAAAAAAAAAACCGAGGGAAATATCAGCAATTAGTAACATTGGACAATAAAGACGGCAATATGTTGGTCACATTCTGAGACAAACTGAACCAAAAAGTATAACAAAACTGGCCCTTAAATGGGGGGAAATGGACTGAGGAAATAAGGACGTCTGAAAGAAACTGCTACAAACGTTGACGATAAGTGTGCACCCGTATTCCATCCTCGGTATCGCAACAACAACAAATTAGCACAGGATAAAAGGATTGTTATTGAATCGACCAAAAGTCATAGTTACGTACAACAAAACAACAGAGTAATAAATGCATGTACGAATGAATGAATGAATGAATGAATGAATGAATGAAATGAATGAATGAATGAATAATTAAAATAAAAGAATGAATGAGTTATGAGTTGGATTATCTTCAGAGCACTGCGGACACATCAATAGGTGCTCAGATTCCCCCCTCCCCCTCTACATATTCATCAGCGTCACACGGTTAATAGTGCCAGTTTAGGCTGGTTGACCAGATTTCGTGTGCGTCCGGTGTCCTTCTCATGCTTGGTTGTGCCGATCTTTCCTCCTGATTCTCGTATTCTTAGCAATGATAAGTGTTTTCTTAGTACCGTACCCCAAACAGGGAAAATCCACAGTTCACGGTACAGTCTAATATTTCAGTGGGTGGAATATAAGCTGCTTGCAGTCGTGGGACCTAGGCTGCTGGCAGTCGTGTGAAGTAATCTACATTATCTCGTGGGACGTAGGTGGGTTCGGCTTAGGGCCAGATTTAGATGTTTTGGGGTCGTTAAAATCAGCAGAAAGCTGGGAAACCCAGTCTTACAACCCTCTCTTACTCTCCTGTGACGTTATCCGGGGTAGGATATTACGAAAGAACCCATTTATGTAGACACGTTGCTTCCAAAATCCTCGGAACGTCATATTTCTATAAGGGCATTGACAATGTCTGCGGGATCCATGGGCCGACCATCTGCAGTTAATGCGAAATATGCCAGTCTATTAGCTATCAGAATGAATGAATGAATGAATAAATGAATGAATGAATGAATGAATGAATGAATGAATGAATGAATGAATGAATGAATGAATGAATGAATGAATGAATGAATGAATGAATGAGTTAAGGTAAAGTAAGCCCTCAACCGCCATTTCATCAGGATAACAACAAAAAAATTATAAACACGTTCTTCCGTCCTTGGCAGGCGAGGGTAGACTTTTGTGATTTCGCATCTCTTCTTCCCAAAGAAAACAAGAATAACAGACAGGAATTGTAAACCTACTATTAACTAACAGGGCACCCGCCAGAAGCCAGGGTGTGGGGCTTCAAAATAACAAAAGTATTGCACCCCACAAGGGGACGACTTCATAACTGTGAACTACTAAAGGCGGTCGGTTTTATACTGACCACACCACCCAGCAAGTGTTGATCGGTCTATAAACTGTAGCTTTAACCCCATCTGCCCAGCACACCTGCATGCGTGAAAATAGTCCTTTGCTTAACTTGCTTAGCTACTTAACTATTCCACGCCTAGCCTGGAGTATACCTATTATCTTATGTAAACTATACTGGTAACCTGAGCCACACATAATGTTCAAGTTGACTCCGGTTACAAATACCCGGCTCGTAATTACAGCTTTGGCTTTCCAGGATAAGAATAAAAATTAGCCAGGTTTAGTGTTGTGGAAGTCAGGGGAAATTAAAACCGTACCTAACTTAGTGGCAGTGGTTGTTTATGCTGATTGTTTGTTGTTATCAGTCGCACCGACACGACAGAGAAATTATTAGTTGACGGAGGAGGAGGAGGAGTAGGTGAAAGTGGGGGGGGGGGGGGTTCACTATCCCCCGCCGTCTTATGTTCCAGGCATAAATGGGCGCAGAGCCTCAAGGGGCTATCTGAGTTTAGGACCATGATCATAATAATATTAATAGGACCTGTTCACGTTTCCCGGCGCATCTACACTTTCTCAGTCTGCTCTAGGTCAGAGGGGTGTCTAGTTGTACTGCTTTCTTCGAACATAGTGCAGTGTGACCTAGGCTGTGGGTATTGGGGGGTTTGGGTTAGGGCCAGTTCTAGATGTTCTGGGGCCGTTGAAAGCTGTGTTGTCGTGTAGTATAAGACACCCGCGAAATTGGCGCTTATGTTGTTGGAGGGAAGAAAGGTAAAAGTAACGTTGATCTCCCAAAGCCCCAACCATATACACACTAGGTCACTTCTGATTGGTACCTGATCCCCATGCTCTTCACACAAGGTTACGGGGGGGGGGGTGTGTTCCGTGATACCGGTGATTTCGCGTGTTGGATATTTCAGCACGCCGGCGCTTTTAACCTCCAAAAACACAGAGCAACTGGTCCTAACATAACCCACCCTCCCCCTCCCACCCAGATAGGGCTGCAACTTATGTAACAGGCATTCTCTTTCTCAGAATGAAAACGTACCACACAAAGTAAACAACAGAGGAGGACACACCCGCAGCCTTCAGGAAAGTTGAACAGCCCAACAAACTTGTGAATGAAAAGTGACCTTCTCTGTTTGGGGAGATTACTTTAACAGGAAGAAAACGTGACACTCCTCTGACGTAGATGAGTCAGGGAAAGTATGAATGGAAGGTCATGTAGTGTGTAGATTGGTTGGAAACGTGAACAGGACCTGTTGATAATAATATTAATAATAAATAGCAACATGTTGTACGGTAAATTAATAAAAGAATACATCTGAAACAACATTCTGTGTGTGGCTTCCATTGTTCCTGTTTTTTTAGGGAAATAAAAAAGAATAGACCCACTAACCCTCTAACAAGCATATCGTAGCAACTTTCCGCTGAAGCTTAAAACCGGGGTAAGCTAAGAAAATGAAATAATCTAGAATTAGTGAACACATTTTTTTTAAAGAGAATTTCTATATATGGTTATTTAAGACTGCTAAGTCTTCTTACAAACTTATTGGGTTCAAACACACACAAACCCCTCCCCCCCCCCCCCTTTTTTTTTCCTTTCTCCCACCTCTTAAAAATATTTGTTTCGTGTTTGGGGTTGGGGGGGGGGGGGGGGGGGGTCTGTAATTTGCCTAGTTCCCCATTGTTTCAGCGTCACCTGTATTTTAACAAGCCTCTGCCAGAATTTAGCATGAAGTTGTCTGTTTTAGGCCTATCACTCACATGGGACTGGAAATTGAAGTGTCCGTCTACCACCGCGGAGTGTTGTCCGATGATTTCCTTGGCTACGCCGCCATTCCGCTGTGGGAGTACAAGATCACGGAGACAGCAGCCAGCAGGTGAATGTCTTTCTTTACATTGTTATCTTCTGTATCTTCCAACCGCGAAAGTCTCTACAGTCCGTTCCCAAAGTTGTGCCCAACTTAAATAATCAGTAATTCAGTAACAGTTCGGTGTAAGTTGCTGACATTTGGCATGTAGCATGTTAATTATTATGTTTTTGCAAGATTTTCTTTAAAATGTAAACAAACATCCAATTTCCATTTTGCCCTTTTAACGGTATATATGAAGAAAATAAAAAGACCCCGGTTCAAAGCAAAAACAGCCACACGCTTAAAGTTAAATGAGTAATGGGAACTTTTCAAATTGCACGCGTTTCATTGGCGTCTCACTCTTAGGTTGTCATCTCGAACATTAGCCTTCGTAAGTGAGCTAAACAAAAATTTTCATTGTATGCCGAACAAGCTTTCAAAATTATCACCACGCATAACTACACATGTGACTCGATTTGCGTATAATCTCCACTCTTGTGTCGGTTACTGCATATTCTACTTTTTAGGGACACACAAATTGATAGTCAAACAAACAAAAAACAGAAATTCTCCGCTTCGAGAAAATAGCAGCACATGTGCAGATGTACATTAAAAAATCATAAGGATATTGGAAACCTGAGGCCATATGCACCCCCCCCCCCCCCCCAATCGTGTTGATCCATACAGGCGTTTTCTAGATATTTGTTAAAGTGTGAGGGCCCGATTTTTGAAACGCACTGTTGCATACTTGTTGATAATCATGCTGCCAGTTGCGGCTTGTGCATAGGCACTTTCGTCCGGGGGGGGGGAGGGGGGGGGGGAGGGGGGGGGATTGTGTTCTTTCACTCGATATAATCGACAACATTCAGTTTAAGCCTTCTTTTCATTAAGAACTACGACACCTCTTTCTTTTCCACACCCGATGTCATCGACAGTTAGCATTTGTGGTTTTGTGTCGCGAACCAGCTACGCTATTTGGTGGTGCCGTGTTCGATCCTAGCTGCGAGCGATTTGACAGAAGAGCGCCCTGCGTAAATTTCGACAAATGGTATGGAGAGCCGACAGTGCAAGGACACGTGCAAATTACTGAACATAAAAACGCCTGTCTAATTCGCAAATAGTTAAAACCAACATCATAACATTTATATTACCAGTCTTCTGGTCTTTTATTCTCTTTTTGCTTGTGTATTATACAGTCCTTGGGCTTAATTTCAGTAGCCGACTAGTTCATGAAGAATTATTTATTTTTTGTAATTCTCACACGGAACCGTATATTTAATATATTTTCCAGCGATACGGTGTTTAGCTGTAGTGCGCATGTGCACAAGTCCTAAATAAGAAGTTTATGAAACAATTTTTGTTCACATTTGTTCAGTTTTCCCACAATCTAAAAATGTCGGAAGTTGTACCCTCATTAATTTTAGTTACAAGCTGCCACTGCTCGGGGGTCACATGTTCACATTTGAGTTCGGTATCCTTTTGTTTTTGTATTGTATGGGTTAGTTAGTTAGTTAGTTAGTTAGTTAGTTAGTTAGTTAGTTAGTTAGTTAGTTAGTTAGTTAGTTAGTTAGTTAGTTAGTTAGTTAGTTAGTTAGTTAGTTAGTTAGTTAGTTAGTTAGTTAGTTAGTTAGTTAGTTAGTTAGTTAGTTAGTTAGTTAGTTAGTTAGTTAGTTAGTTAGTTAGTTAGTTAGTTAGTTAGTTAGTTAGTTAGTTAGTTAGTTAGTTAGTTAGTTAGTTAGTTAGTTAGTTAGTTAGTTAGTTAGTTAGTTAGTTAGTTAGTTAGTTAGTTAGTTAGTTAGTTAGTTAGTTAGTTAGTTAGTTAGTTAGTTAGTTAGTTAGTTAGTCGGTTGGTTGGTTGGTTGGATGGTTGGTTGGTTTTATATCACTAGAAACAACGTGTTTTCTCGTAGTAATCAATTTAGATGTTAATTTTACTTTTATCTGCCTGGTGGTTGAAAATCATCAAAAGTCAAAATTACGACACCAACTACTATTTTGATGACATGCTGCTACTGTTGCCGCCGCCGCCACTGCTGCTGCCGCTACTACTACTACTACAGCTAATCCTACTACTACTACTACTACTACTACTACTGCTACTAACAGTTGGTTCTTGTGTTTGTAGCAGTAGCAGTAGTAGTAGCAGCAGAAATAAAGGTTATCAGTGGTAATGCTGATGGTAATAATGATGACGATCAGGCTCCAACAACTGTGTCAGCTTCCCGTGTAGTTGCCTTTAAAAAATATGTGTGACTTTGCTCCACAACAGGTGGGTATCACTCCGCAACAAGCCATCCAAACCAGGGCCAGACAAATATCGAGGCGAGTTGGAAGTCAAGCTAACCTTCCGCAGCCAACATCGCCATGACAGCATGTCACAGGCTCTCAAGAAACGGTCACCGTCGATACGTAACCTCACAACCACAATCGGTAACTGTTTTCTGTAACCACTTCTTTTTTTCTGGCTACATCATGGAAATGTTTGGGGAGTCGTAAAGATCTTCCGCCAGCATTCCCTTGTAGAAGGTGATGATTTATTTGAGGCTGCTTTTGGTGATCATACCATCTTTTGCAGTGTTCATCAAGTAACTTTAGCCTGACTCTCTCTCTCTCTCTCTCTCTCTCTCTCTCTCTCTCTCTCTCTCTCTCTCTCTCTCTCTCTCTCTCTCTCTCGTCTGTGTCGGTATGCGTGTATATATATATGTGTGTGTGTGTCAAAGACAAGTTATCTTGCTATGTGTCATAGACAAGCTATCTTGCTATGTGTCATAGACAAGTTATCTTGCTATGTGTCAAAGACAAGTTATCTTGCTATGTGTCATAGACAAGCTATCTTGCTATGTGTCATAGACTAGTTATCTTGCTATGTGTCATAGACAAGCTATCTTGCTATGTGTCATAGACAAGTTATCTTGCTATGTGTCATAGACAAGTTATCTTGCTATGTGTCATAGACTATTATCTTGCTAGGTGTCATAGACAAGTTAGACAATTATTATTACTTATTTTTAGCTGGGTCGACCTGAGAACCAAGATCGATTATTGTATACAAATCCATCCAGGTGCGGATGTGAACCCAAGACATCGCTGTATGGATTCTGGGGCACTATTTGTTCTTGGAGAGGGGGTGGGGTGGGTGGTGGAGGGGGGGGGGGGGCAATAGTCCCACTGTCGCATAGCAAGCATGGAATGGATGTGCCGGCAAAACTCAGATTATGGGACCGGAGCTGTCCGCCCGGGTCTACAGACGCTGAACTATGAGGGCATGCAGCTAATATTTGTCTGGCGTGGACGATCATGCCCCTTCACAACTTGTTATCCCCAAATGGACGTATCAGTTTATATGCTGATGCATTTATGTCGCCTAACAAAAGACTGTGTGAAGACTCCATTAAATGTTATGTAAATAAGCGGATAAAGAAACCGGTCAAGAAATACATGACAATGGCCAACGGTTTATGTAACCCATTACATAGACAACTGTTTTTTGTAACTCACAACAAAAGAAAGCTATCACAGAGCAGGCCACAGTGGGGTCTCTGGATCTAATCGATTTAGTTGTTTGCCTGGCGTTCTCATGTTTGTGGGTTGTTTAGGGATTTGGTTTTTATTTTCACCCACAGAGTGTCTGGTTCGGTTTACGAGTGTGAATTTCCTTGTTAATGGTCAATGCGGCTAAGGGTTCGTTCTTTGAGCGCCGCTCTTGGCAAGCGGCATGTCGTTCTGTAGAGACACCCATAACAGTGTGTGTGTGTGTGTGTGTGTGTGGGTGGGTGGGTGCGTGCTTGCGTGTGTGAGTGGGTGGGTGTGTGTGTGTGTGTGTGTGTGTGTGTGTGTGTGTGTGTGTGTGGGGGGTGGGTGGGTATGTGCGTGTGTGTGTGTGCGTGTGTGGGTGTGTGGGTGGGTGTGTGGGTGGGTGTGGCGGGGGTGGGTGAGTGGGTGGGTGTGTGTGTGGGTGGGTGGGTGTGTGTGGGTGGGTGTATGCGTGTGTGTGTTTGCGTGTGTGGGTGGGTGGGTGTGTGTGTGGGTGTGTGTTAATGTGTGTGTATGTGTGTGTGTGGGTGGGTGGGTGTGTGTGTGTGTGTGTGTGTGTGTGTGTGAGAGAGAGAGAGAGACAAAGCACAGTACCGTGAAGTCGATTCTCTAGTCTTAATCCTTTTCATCTTTAGGCGATTGTATTCTGTAGCCCACGATAAAAACGGTTGTCTCACAACAAAGACAAATGTGACAACAATGTCTACAGTTTGTTACAACAAAGACAACTGTCACAGCGCAGACAGCTGTCACAACAAAGACGATGCTACATAAAACACAACTGCTACATCAAAGACAACTTTCATATCAAAGACAACTATCACAACAGAGTCGATTGTCACATGAAAAACAACTGTCATAACAAAGACGATTGTCACATCAAAGGTTACTGTGACACCAAAGACAACAGTCGTATCAATGACGACTTTTCCATTATATACGACTATCACAACAAGGTGATAGTAACATAATAAACAACTGTCATAACAAAGACTACTGTCACATCTACGGCGACTTTCGCATGAAAGGCAACAGTCATATGAAGGATCAACGTCACATCAAAGATGACTGTCACAGCGCAGACAGCTGTCACAACAAAGACGACTATCCCATCTAAGGCGACTGTCACAGCGCAGACAGCTGTCACAACAAAGACGACTGTCCCATCTAAGGCGACTGTCACAGCGCAGACAGCTGTCACAACAAAGACGACTGTCCCACCTAAGGCGACTGTCACAGCGCAGACAGCTGTCACAACAAAGACGACTGTCCCATCTAAGGCGACTGTCACAGCGCAGACAGCTGTCACAACAAAGACGTCGCTACATCAATCACAGTTGTTACATCAAGTAGAACTATCATATCAAAGACAACTATCACAGCAGAGTCGAATGTCACATGACAAACAACCGTCATAACAAAGACGACTGTCCCATCTAAGGCGACTGTCACAGCGCAGACAGCTGTCACAACAAAGACGACTGTCCCATCTAAGGCGACTGTCACAGCGCAGACAGCTGTCACAACAAAGACGTCGCTACATCAATCACAATTGTTACATCAAGTAGAACTATCATATCAAAGACAACTATCACAGCAGAGTCGAATGTCACATGACAAACAACTGTCATAACAAAGACGACTGTCCCATCTAAGGCGACTGTCGCTACATCAATTACAATTGTTACATCAAGTAGAACTATCATATCAAAAACAACTATCACAGCCGAGTCGAATGTCACATGACAAACAACTGTCATAACAAAGACGATTGTCACATCAAAGGTGATTGTGACACCAAAGACGATAGTCGTATCAATGACGGCTGTCCCAAGGCGACTTTCACAAGAAAGGCAGCTGTTATATAAAGGACAAACGTCAAATCAAAGACGACTGTCACATCTAAGGCGACTTTCACAAGAAAGGCAACTGTTATGTAAAGGACAAACATCATATCAAAGACGACTGTCACTTCAATGATGACTGTCTCGTCAAATTCGACTATCACAACAAAGACAACTTTTTTTTATTTTTTTTATGACAGCCACAATAAGACAACTGTACCAACAAATACATCTAAACTGTTTTCATGTTATTCCATGTATGGGTTCCGGAGACCATTTGTGGGGGAAACAAGAACAGACTTAGTGTCCAGACAACCAGCATGTCGCAGGGGGGCGACTAGCTTAGACGATCCTTCGAAGTGGGACTGCATCTGCCTGAGCGGCAAGAAACAAACAATGCACACGTGTAGGCCAGTAAAATGGTTGTTCACACAAAACTCGCATCCTGTCACAAAGTCCAAATGGACGAACAACCAGGACTTTACACTGAAGCTTACAGCCGGTGAACAAAGAACATGTTATGTAATTTTGATTTTTTTTTTCTTTTTCAGGAGATAAAATTAAATTTGTTCGCAGCCGATCTTTCCGTGACAATAGAAGGGAGTCGGACTTTGGAAAGATGGATAAATGTCTGCCATTTGTCGCCACAGAACCCAGTGTTTCCAATGAATGGCAACCAGTAAGTCACAGAGTTACGTGTCTTTTCTTAAATGCGGATATAGTCCGTCTCAAAGATCGTCCCAACTTTAAAAATCTGTAACTCAATAACCGTTCAGTGTAAGTTGTTGAAAACTGGCATGCAACCTGTCAATGATCATGTCCTTGACTGAATTTTGTTTAATGTATACAAACATATAGTTTTAATTTTACTTTATTTGCGGTATATGAAAAATGAGACACCGATTCAAAGCAAACAATCGGCATGCTTACACTTAACTGAGTAACATCAACTTTTCAAAACATCAATTTACACGCGCTTCCTAAGCACTTCACTCTGATGTGGTCATTTCTCCCACTTTCCGCCCGTGAGTTGCCGGTATTTTATTGTTTGCTGTTAAGCTATCTACCGACCATGCACGTGTGCACAGATTTCCAAACAATTTCCACTGTATATTCTTTTTTTTTCAGGGGTACACAGATTATCAGTCAAACAAAGATCAAAGAAATTCGTCGCTTTAAGAAAACAGCAGCCCCGTGCCATTGTAAAATTATAAAATCATAAGGACATGGGAGATCAAAGGCCCCATGTAAAAAAAAAAAAATGCGCGTTGATCCGTGCTGGAGTTATCGAGATTTAAGGGCACGACTTTTGTAATGGACTATAGGAGTTGTACTGGTAGGAAATATTCTATCACTTCTGGAAGTTGGGTAAGTCGCCGTGGCGTTGGCGGTTAGACGCCGCCTGCGGGTCGGAAAGTCGTGGGTTCGCGTCCTGGCAGAGCCGGAATTTTTTTTTTTAAATGACCTTGACTCCCAGATCGACCCAGCCTTGGGTGGGTACCAGGTGCAGTCCTGGGAAGCAAAGGCGACCGGCGTGGTGCTGACCACATCACCCACCAAGTGCCGATTGGTCTATTAAATTATAAGTCTAGTCCAATATTCACAATTCGCCTAAAAGCCTGGAAAAGGGACCGTTACTTGTATTTCTGGAGGTTGAACCCTGTCCGCTTTCTTGGCAGGAACAAATCACTACACCACTTTTTCTTTAACTGTATGATTCTCTAATTTCTTTGTCGTTTTTACCTGCAATAAATATCTATCAGCGGTACTTTAATCTTATCGGCCACATCTCGTTGGCTGCGAGATTTCGTGGAAATTCCTAGGAATCCCTAGGGATTTCCCTGGACAGTAGCATATTATGGGTGGGAGTAGGGCTGGGGGTGTTAGGGTATGGGCTAGTGTTCAATGAATAGCGTCTACTACTAAGCCTAACCCTAACCCTCCTATACTATGGGTCGTTATGGGGATTTCCCTACCAAATCTCGGATCCGACGAGATGTGGTCGCATAAAATTAAAGTACCCTTTAAGCCTTAACCGTGTGTATAACTTAACGCTGCACTTCAGCAAAGTCAGCATCATGTACCAAAGTAAACTGGGTTTTGGAGCATGGAGAGTAATACACGTTCACTATTTAGGTACGTTCTTATTAGCCGACCACAAACAGGTCACGGGACAGTAAAATATTTCATGGGGTGATAGATTAAGCGTATAGTTTTAGGTAGGGTTTGGGTTAGGGTAAGGTTAAGGCACGACAACCATGGCCTTGGAAGAAACGCGCTAAAGCACAGAAAACACGAAAAACCACCCTCTAAAATATTGGACTGTCTCGTAACGTGATTTGTGGTCGGCGTGAAAAGGGATCTTTACCTTTTTACTTATAAAGAAAGCACGGTGCTTTATTAATATCCTACCCCAAACAGGGGAAATGTACAGGTAACGAGACAGTCTAATATTTCAGGGGGTGGTAGATAGGCTGCATGCAGTCGTAGGACCTAGGCTGCATGCAATCGTGGGACCTAGACTGCACTCTGGGACTCAGGTGGGTTGTTCTAGAGGTTTTGTGGTCGTTAAAAGCATCAGAAAGCCGGGAAACCCTGTCTTACCACTCTCTAAACTGTTGGACTGTCATGTGACGTCATCTGGGGTAGTATATTAATAAAGCACCGAAAACACCACTATTTCTATCTAGCAAAGGTCATGGTTGCCAGTAGTTTTCATAAACACGGATACGGCAAAATCCCACATTCAAAGTCCTACTGCCCCATCAGTTAACATTTGTAACGCAGTATTGGTGTAAACGGCCCCCGTATTCGGTGTGTGCATATACAAAGGGTTTTAGGTTGTGAATAAGTTAGCGCAGAGCTTAATGCACGTTTTCTAGTCTGTGTGTAATGTGGCGCTGATTTCTGTGTGTTCGTTATGTTGCTGGTTAGAGAGGACTATTGTTGAAAAATCAGCTATGAATGAATTCGGTTTCTCCCTCATTTGCACATCAACGCGGTGAATTTAGAACGGTACACATGACTTTTCAAATACTGCATTCCAGTGTTCGCTTTAATTTGGCTGCGAGCATCGTTTGTGTGTGTTTGGTGGAAGCGGGTGATAGATTCATTTAGACCTTGCTGTAGAATATCACACAGGTTGGCAGGAGCCAGTGATAAATATGTTTAGATGTTGTTCTATAATTTAACGTGGGTGGCAGGGGTGGATGATACATTTGTATAGATGGTTACAGAAAATATGCGATAAGTGGCAGGGGTGGATGATACATTTGTATAGATGGTTACAGAAAATATGCGACAAGTGGCAGGAGCTGATGATAGATTTGTTTAGACAGTCTATGGAATTTCACATTAGTGATAGAGTCAAATAACAGATTTGTTTCAATAAAAAGGAAAAAGTAAAAAGTTAAGGACCCTTTTCCACGCCTCTAGGCATATAGGGCATATAGGGCTAGACTTATCTTTTTATAGACCAATCGACACAAGAGGGTTGATGTGGTCAGCATCACGCTTTGTTTCAATAGCATAAAGAATACCATGCAGGTTGCAGAGGTGGTTGGAAATATGTTTAGATGTTGTCACAGAATGTCACACGACTGGGGTGGATGATACGATAGATTTGTTTAGATAATGCTAACATAATGTCACACGTGTTGTTGAGTCAGATGACAGATTCGTCTCCATAGCCCTAGAGAACATCACACAAATGGCAGAGACGGTTGGTAGATTTTTTAAAGAGGTAGTTAGAGATGTTATACGGTTGATAGGAACGGATGATAGATTGGTTTAGATGTTACAGAACGTCACACTGGTGGTTGGAGCGGATTATAGATTAGTTTATGCGTTGTCGCAGAGTGTCACACAAGTGGTAGGGGCGGATGATAGATTGGTTTAGATGTTACAGAACGTCACACCGGTGGTTGGGGCGGATTATAGATTGGTTTATACGTTGTCGCAGAGTGTCACACAAGTGGTAGGGACGGATGATAGATTGGTTTAGACGTTGTCACATAATGTCACACGAGTGGTAGGGACGGATGGTAGATTGGTTTAGATGTTGTCACAGAATGTCACACGGCGGGGGGGGGGGGGGATGATAGATTGGTTTAGCCGTTGTCACATAATGTCACACGAGTGGTAGGGGCGGATGGTAGACTGGTTTAGACGTTGTCACAGAATGTCACACGAGTGGTAGGGGCGGATGAAAGATTGGTTAAGACTTTGTCACATAGGGTCACACGAGTGGTAGTGACAGATGATAGATTGATTTAGATGTTGTTATAGAATGTTACAAGGGTGCTGGTGACGGATGGTAGATTGGTTTAGATGTTGTCACAGAATGTCACACGGCGGGGGGGGGGGGGGGAGGGGGATGATAGATTGGTTTAGCCGTTGTCACATAATGTCACACGAGTGGTAGGGACGAATGATAGATTGGTTTAGACGTTGTCACATAATGTCACACGGGTGGTGGGGACGGACGATAGATTTGTTTAGACGTTGTCACAGAGTGGATAACAGATTGGTTCTGGTGCGCAGGAACTCAAAGGCTCAGTATTTGTTCATACACTTTATGTTATTTCAGTTATATTCATTTTTTTTAAAAACTATTTAGCCAAGTAGGGAGTCGCCGTGGTCTAGCGACTAGACGATCGTCTGCAAATTGGAAGGTCGCGGGTCCAAATCCGAACGGTACTGGAGCTTTTTAAAATGTGATCCTGGCTTTCAGGCCGACCCAGTCTTTAATGGATACTAGGTAAATTCATGGGAAGTAAAGGCAGCCGGTGTGGTGTTGACCACATTACCCTCCGAGTGCCGTTTTGTCTATAAATTATAGGTCTAGCACTATAATTCCAATACGCCTAAAGGTGTGGACAATGGTCCATTACTTTTACCCTTTAGCAAGCAATGGCAAACTACATAAGTAGTAACACCACTAACACACGACGGTTGCCGAGGTTAGTAGGCGATATCTAGTAGAGTGTAAAGGGTATGCAACTTCAAACACCATCGCATGTAAGACGATTATTATTTGATCACTACCTTTTGGTATGACTCTGCCAGGAAGCCTTGACACGAAGCTACAGCATGTCTACGGCTTACATTAAAACCATGTCCCTGGACAGAAAGAAACGACTCAACTACTCCGTCAGAAGTAATCTCAATGACAAAAGCAGCAGCCAGAATATAGCAGCTGAGGCCAACAGTCCAGGTTAGACATTTAGAACTATCTCTTTATTATTATTATTATTATTATATTGTTGCGTCTATTGTTTAGGCGTTGTGAGTCCGTTTCGTAATTCCAGCGTATCATGATAGAAATCCACTGGTGGCTGCGTGAATTTTCATCATGGTATGGGGCGTCGCAGGTCGACCCAGACTAAAATGTGTACCAGGATGTATGTCCCGGGGGAGTAAAGACGGCCGGCTTAATGCTGACCACATCCTGATTGTTTTTGTATTAATAATCATGTATAACATCTATCATCATGTGGCATGTAGAACGGCGCCAGTGATGATATTTTTTCACAACCATCTTGTTATAGTTAAACGTATCTTTTCAACGCTTCAAGGACGTTTATGTTTATGTTTATTCAACGGATCAAAATCATCGCACACGGGTGTAACCAATAAGTGCTCCGTTCTTCTTCTAGCTCAAGCCTGAGTCTGAAGAATCTCAGCGCAGTGCACGAACTCTTTTGCACTGGCGAGGATCCTTAAATACTTTAGGCATAATTTTAATTCAAAATGTTGCCCGGGCAGCGTGGTTAGGCTACTCTTTTAGATTTCCAACTGCCAATAAAAAAATTAACATTAGATGCAGTAAAGCAAACCAAGTATTGGGACAGCTAGCCCCCCTCTTACAGCATAAGACAATCCCAATCAGCATAAAGAGACATCTTATTCAAAGCATATTTATTCCAACTCTATGCTACCAGTGCCAGACATGGTCACTCACAACAAACCATAAAAGAAAATTAGTAACCATGGAAATGAGATGTCTGAGAAGAGCTGTAGAAGTGACCATAAGAGATAAGATCAGGAATGAGATCATAAGAGAAACAGTCGGCACAGAACCAATTCTAAATTACATACGAAGACAGCAGGTGAAATGGTTTGCCCACTTAGAGAGAATGCCTTGTGACACTATACCATACAAAGCATACATGGAAAGAGAAGGAGGTAGAGCACGAGGTAGACCAAGAACAAGATGGAAGGATAACATCAGAGAAACTCTCCAACAGCACGATGTGCCTATGGTCGAGGCGGCCAGATGAGCTAGAAACAGAACCTTATATCTTCCTCGACACCCACAGCGGTAAAAAAAGAAGTGAAGAAGAAGAAGAAGAAGGGATTTTTTTACGTGCGCAACAATGCATACGGGCGTCCGGTGTTACTACCCAGAGACCAAGATAAATTACTAGAAGTCCAAGTGAAAAAATTCCAGCCTTCATTAGGACCTGAACCAAGGACATCTAGCACTCGAGGCGGACACTATGCCTCGCAACCACACAGCTCCCTCGCTGCAAGGAGTATTACTCATATCGTGCTGGCAACAGATTTTATAAACCAACTCGTACTTTACGTGTGATGCTCCTAATGTTACACTTTTTATCTTTCGCCTCCTTCTTCTTCTTTCTTCTGTTTCCCCAATGGAGCAAAGATTCTCAACCAACCCATGCCGAATGTCAAACAGGCCTGCGTGCCCAATTTGGGACACTTTAAAAAAAACTTCGTTCGTTTGATCATTCGTCCTTTTCTTTGCTGCTCATCTTCACTCTCTATCTCCTTTCTCCGTGTGTGTGTGTGTGTGTGTGTGTGTGTGTGTGTGTGTGTGAGATGTGTGATGTGTGATGTGTGATGTCTGATGTGTGTGCGCGCGCACTTTCCTGCCTTTGTTCCTATGTTCGTGTGCGTTCTAATGCAAAGACATTCTTTTTCATATTGTTCTCGTTTTATCAAAGTGTGTCCTATCCAACGCCAGCGTCTTTTCTTCACCTCTTGAGCGTCACCTTAACTTCCTAGAATATATACAAAGCCATCTTTAGGCTGGATCTTAAACAACGTCTGTGGTTTACGGGTTACATCACGTTTGGTAATTCATAAATACACGGCCCGAGTCAGCACAAGCGATTAGGCACCAGACCGCTTTGCGTTGATGTGGACAGCGGTGTGGATAGTCGACCGTTCAGTTACCAATGGCAAACTACTCAACGTAAAATTGCCCAGTAAAACCACAATTGGTGGAAAAACTGCTGGGCATAGATCTTGACTTACTTTGCGAAAAACAAAAATCGTTACGTTCAACCAACAACCCCCCCCCCCCTCCCCCTCCAAGGAAGCTTTCGGTTATAATTGTGACTATGTTTATGTGCGCCATATAAAATAGATAAGCATTGCTCGCCACCAAGTAGCCCAAAAAGGACTCTTGAAGTGTTGATGCGATCAAAGGAGACAGACCCAAATGCTGCTCCACCGGCGACGAAGTCGTCTACCGGTGAGCCAATGGGCTATCCGGTCACCGATGTGGGCATAGGTGCCAGAACTGGGGGGGGGGGGGAGGAGGGGAGTGGGGATCAGGTCTCTTGAAAGTTCCTTCACCTTCCCCCCAGCCACCCCTGAAATGTGAAATCAGATATTTTAGTACTCGCTTTCTGTGGCTAAGACGTTGCGAACCCACTTTGCAATGCCAGGGTGTAGGTTCGATCCCAGCTGCAAACTATATGCGATCAGACCGCCTTGCATTGGTTTCGCAGTGGTATCCAGAGGCGACCGTTGACTGCCAGTAAGAAACTACTGAAGCTAAAATGTGCCTACAAAAGTCGCAACAGCTAGAAGAGGTTGTTGGACTTGGTGTTCTGCAGTACACTGTAAACGACATGCAATTAACTTGTTACTTTTTTTTTTTACTTACGTTAATACGCAGTTAACTATTAACTCTTTTTTAACGCGAAAAAAAGTTAGTTGCGTATCCTTTACATGACGTCGCAGAACCAACCCCAACAGCCTCCGGCTGTTGCGTGGTTTTTCTAGGCAAATTTACGTCCAGTAGTTTGCCATTGCTTCCTGGACGGTCGGCTTTCTTGATACTACTGTCGAAACCAACGCAAGGCGCATGCCTCATAGCTGTGATCGAACCTGGCATGCTGGCATTACGAAGCGCTCGCATCGTCTTAGCCACAGAGCCGACACGCGAATGCAAGTAACACTATAAATAAAGGTGATTCAACTTTTCAGATACAGCATTTGCTTCGGATATTCTGATCTTAATCTCAGTGACGCATTTTACATCTGATATTTTAACTACCACCCCCCACCCCCCTTCCCCTTTCCCCAAAAAATATGCATTGAACAACTCATATGCAAATCAGCGAGGTTAATGGGAGGAGCTTGGCATCAAAGAACACTGGCTGCACTGCATCTCGAACATAGTTTGTATTCCTTTCACCAAAGAGCCGGTCGTGCACTTGGTGTTATCTTTATACTTGTATCGCTAATTACTTTATCTCAGACATCCTTACAACTTTGCCACTCGGCTTGGTTTTATTAACCCTTTAGTCCCAGAAATGTGTTGTTCGTGATGAGCACTTTCCAGTGAACCCAGAACATCGTGTAATGTGTTCTTCATTTGGTCAACGTGAAGTACAGAAATACAATCAGCGATGAAGAAACTTGACTCCATAATGAACAGCTCGGGACACTTTTTTAACGCCATTAGAAAATCTGACTTAGCTATATGGACGTTAAACAACATTATAAGCACAGCCCGCAATACTTGCATGAAAAACAAAAGAATTGATTTTGAAATCGAGCATAGTACTGTGTGAGAAACATAGTCATGTGACTCAATGACAATTTCACAATCAGTAAAGAAATTTAGAGAACAGATATCTTTCATGTAGCAACATATTGATATATTTACTTCATTATTTTGTCATTGTTGAAAAGGAAAATCGGTGGTTTTGAATTTGTTTATTGCATAATTATTCTTATAATATCAGTTATGATGAACACTTTGACGTATATGGTTTGGCGCCCTCAGAAAGTAAAGAGACATACAAGGATTAAATATACATAAGAATCGTGGCTAAGTCGATGCGAACGCTTCGTAATGCCGGGGTGCCGGGTTCGATCCCAGCTGCGGGCTATGCGCCTTTGCTTTGGTTTCGACAGTGGTATTAGGGAGCCGACCGTCCACAAAGCAATGGCAAACTACTGGATGTAAATTTGCCTAGAGAAACCACACAACAGCCAGGGGCTGCTGGGTTTGGTTCTGCAACGTCCTGTAAAGGATACGCAACTAAAAAAAAATGTCTTTGAAATATTGTTATTGCAATTTTCCATATGGTTAGGCAGTCTTAAAAATCTAAGTAAACCTTTCTTGAACAGAAAAAATTGTGACATATCCCTGTGTAGACTGCAGGACCCCATTTTAAGGAAACAATACCTCTGTCGAAATCAACACAAAGCGGTCTGTTGCCCAATCGCACGTAGTTGGGATCGAACCGGGTACCTCGGAATAAGGAAGCGCGTTCAAATAAACTGAAAGATCATTATATTTGAAGTGACCACGAAATGTAAGATGAGTTGTTTGGTACAAAAAAACTTAATGATATTTATTTGTTTTTATTTTCAAACACTAGGTATTGCAGACAGCTACAGCCAATCACTGTACAGCCTGCCTGTCAAAAACCGCAGCAACGAAGTGCCTTTCAACCAGCTGCCTCCCTCCACCATATGACCTCAAAGTGTTATCCAAAGAAGACGCTGGAATCTCTCCAAAAGAAAGTACCCCACACATGTCAAACTCTCAAGCCACATCGCCACTCAACAGCCCACTTTCTCCAGGCGCCAGCCAACTGGAGCCGACTCGGTTGGAATTCTCTGGGATTTATGAAAGCATCAAAGAAAAAACAGAACCTGAAAATACAGTTTCCTCCTCATCGGATCCTGAAAGTGTTCCAATGCCAAAGATCCGAGGAAAGAGATTCTCTAAAAAGCAGCCTTTGTCTGTGAGAAGTAGAAATCAGGATTATCAGAAGGAAGGTGCTGCACCTTCTCATGCCAGCGGAAGGGACAACACCTTCGATCAACAACCATTCAACATCAACGGCAGGGACTCTGGTATCTTAGACGACCGCTCTTCCAGCCTGGGCAATTCTTTGGAGGGAAGTCTGGCTGCGATTGATGGACTCAATAGTGGAAGCAAAATGCGAGGCCAGTCTGGGATTTTTGATTCTCACCTAGATCCAGGCAAGTCGGATACGCCCCTAAGCAGTACTCCAAGGGACAGAGGCCTACTGTACCATCTCGACCGAGAGATCTCCATGTCTGGCACAGTCAGGCCCAAGAAAGCCGTGTCCCCTCCCAGCATATTTTACAGTAAAGAAAATAAGCAGGGCGAGCTTGTCGTTAGGAAGAGGTCAAGAGGTCAGAGGGACAGAGATAGAAATCGATTACTGCAAATAAAACAGAGTAGGTACATTTCCAAATATATATATATATATATATATATATATATATATATATATATATATATATATATATATATATATATATATATATATATCCAGAAACCATGAGTTGCTAACCCTTTAGATCGGTACTAAGAATATCGCACCCCCTCGGCCTTGATTCCATGATAGATACCGTAAATCGGAGATAAGTGACCTTTCTACCCCCCCCCCCCCCCCCACCCCCGGCGTAAACCCAGACCTAGAGGAGTTCGT